CCCCAAGGGCTTCCAATATGACTATAGGTAGAGTCTCCACTTCCCACCCTCACATAACCCCAAACAGTACTGATTTATTTCTTGGGTTGCACATACAATTCTGTTAGTTCAACAAACTGACAGTCTGAAAAGCACTAACTTGGAGTGACAGCAAAACAAACATACATGTATACTGGGAATAAGCAACCTGAGTTCAAAATCAAGGCTGCGAAGAGGACAGCCCTGCCACATCTCTTGAATGTGCCTCCTCCTGGAAATGCTCTGCTTATACTTTTCATATGACCACCATAGCTTTTAAGCAATATTAGGAAGCATAAAAGAATACAGCTCAGTCAATCACAGATGCCTTAGTCAAGTCACACGATCTGACCAAACGACAGCATATTAGACTACAGTCTCAATTCTAAACAAAAGAGCCATGGCATCTGCATCCCACAGGTGATTTGGATAATCAAATATGATCACTGCGGCCCTTTGGAAGTGAATAAAATGGCCTAACAAAGCACTCTATGCTATCAAAAAGGAACTTTTCCAACTGAAGGCCATCCCAGCATCATTCTAGTGCTTTCAGAACATGCAAGACCAGTGTTTAAACACTAAAATGAACCTCCTCAAATCATTATTCATCATCATAATCCCCACTGAAATCATTTGGTAATGGAACTTTTGACAGAAGTGGCATGGTCTCTCCAGTGGCAGGAAAACAAGCCAAGCCATACTTTTCTGATACCTGACTTCCCATACTCGCTGTATTATCTACACCAGGGAGGCCGACCCAACCAGCAAATTAAAGTTCCATTCTGCTCAGAGAACAGCTGAGCTGTGGGCTGCTGATACTGTCAGCAGAGGGCTCTCATCCTTACTATTAAGCATCAGGATTAGGCTGGGTCTCAATTCCAGGTCAAGGACACTAAAGCCAAAATCCAAAAACCAAGGAGAGGCAGGATTGCAGGAATCAAAATGAGGTTAACAGGCCAGGATCAGCAAGACTCACATCAATGAAACAGCAGAGTTGAAAGGGTAGAGTTGAGGTTCAAAAGAACACGACAAGTTAGGCAGATCTCCAACAGAAAGAAAACACTTGAAACTCTTGCATACCAGGTCACATTGCTAACTTAGTCTGGCCTATGCACCTACCCTCAAACAACAGATCTGTTTTTCTTGATTAATCCAGGTAATTTCTCAAGCAGAAGACTGAAAAGTCATCATAATGATCCACAATGACAAATTTAACATGACACATTCTTATTCCCACCTACCTGCTCAATATTATTCAGTTCTTCAATGAGATGACAGCTTTATTACAGTATTAACCCTTCACACAATAATTCAGATTCCATTGCCTGCCATCATCTTTAGTGACAGGAACTTCAGTCCTTATATTCCCTCTCATTTTCATTCTTACTTTTCCACGTTCCTTTGGGTTTTCACACATATTCTACAAACATGAAAAGGGCATGCATACCTTCAAGAAGTCAATCTGGACATGAGTCTGCTAGAAAAGAGCAGGGAAGCTGGAACTCCAGGCATGCAGGATTTTTTACACTGCAGGCAGAGTCAGGTGGAGAACATACTGTCAGGTATCGGAGGCCTACAATCATTCTTCCCTCTGTCAGCCATCTGAGCTTGTAAGCCCATGGTCTAAGCTGTGACATTTCATTTACTCTTTCTCTTTTCTCCTGTGTCCCTAGATTTTCTGTGGGATCCTGATTCTGATCAGTGATGCTAGGTGTTTCTCCCAGATCTGAATTTCTCTAATCCTAGCTCAGAAACCTAATCCTAATTGCCTCTTCAAACATTTGGTCTGAACTCTGGGCTTTACCCCGCTACATTTAACCCTGCCAGGAGCAAACACCTACTTTATGTAGAGGACAGTGACTATTCATGTATAATGTTTTCATTCAGTGGTTACCCCACCACTGTGCAAAACAGGACACTAAATAAATATTATTTGTAAAGGATATTGATCACAGTCAGAAGTAAATCCCTGGTAAGAGTTGAAGGTTGTCCTCCTGAGCTTTAAGAAACCCCAGAGGCAACAATGGCTTTGCCCTAGGCAGCCCTAAGACTAGTCACTCAGGCACTATACAAATTACTCCCACTCACAGGAGAGCAGACCCTTTCCCCAAGCATGTGCAATTAAAACTAATGGATAAAAAATGTTCACATCTTAGGTCCTAATGCAGGAACTCACTGATAGCTTGGGAGACTGTCCTCAAACCAAAGATCAAAAACATATTTTAAGTATAACTCTTACAATGTTACCTCACTAAATCTGATTATATCATAACTGATTTTTAGATTAAGTCTTTGGGGTAATTATTTCTGGTTACTAAGAAGTCACCTTTTTCAAATACTTCTTACATATGGCAAAATAAATTTGGGGGAGGATTTCCTCAAAACCAAAAATGAGGAATAATACAAAGAAAAAAATCAAGCTAATATCACAGTTCACTTTTCTATAGATACTGAAAGTAAACATCTAATACTGCAGTTTAACATCTAATAAAGCATCTAATAAAGCATCTAATAAAGCAATCCTTCTTTATTCTCAAAGTGCATATTAAGATGTTAGCACAGTTACTTCAAGTGTGTTTCTCATTTCACCAACAGCAATGGAAAGCTCTCAGCTGTGTGAACCACTGTCTCATGGTTCCTTCAACTGTAAAGTCTCAAATCAAACTCCTCCTTAATCATATACTGATTCTGTATATTTGTGCCTGTCAATCCAGTCAATGTACCTAAGTGAGGAATGAATGAACTCTCTCAAGTGTGATCAAAGACTATTCTTTGAAGAAACCAACAATAAATATATTCTTTAATTCAGAGATGGCATACATCAGTCATCAATTGGTATCAAATTTTAATGCATATTAATGCAAAAACATTTATTCTTTCAGTATTAATAAAGTCACGGAATCCAAAGGTACTCCTCATCTATATGTTAATTGATGTGTTGTATTGCCATCCTCTCCCATCCCCAACTGCTACGTGTGTTCAAGAATTTGAGATGGTAAACAAAGCTAGGTAGTACCATGTGGTGGGTATACATGTGACAGCAACCAGTTTGTAGGTCTCATGACTGCCTTGAAAGTTCTTCCTGTACAGCTGGGATTTTTAATAGCATCCCAACTGGAGCTGTCACAGTAGCCACTGATAAGGTAAAATTACAAATGATGGACAACAATTTCCTATTTTCATTCTTGAATTCCTACAAAACTTGAGTAAGCATTATACAACTCAAAATATTATGAAATTAATCAGTGAGAAAAACTTTTAAATGTCAAAATGAAGTACCTTCTTTTTACCTTTATGACCTCTTTAACAATGGCTAAAATCAATCTGTATTACTAAAACAGTTTATAATGTTCATCAACAAAGTTGAAGCACACATAACACAAACTGTAAAAAGCAGGAAATAATTTGTTTAAATTACTTTCCCTAGTACCTGAAAGAAAAGTTTACAACTTTAACTATATAGGAAACCTTTCCCTTAAGATCCAGCCAACTAAAACTGGATGTCACACACAGGTAGCACAAAAGGACAATACAACACTCATCCAGGAGTCTAAATAAAATGATTCTTTCCACTTATACTGCAGTGGCACAAGACAGGAATATGGAAATCACTGCATATTCCAAGAAAACATTTTATTTTAACACATAATGCAGAGTTCTTCACCTGTGCATCTTCAGAGGTCTGTGGTTTGTATGTAAAATGTTGTGTATATATACATCTGCCTACGAAAAGTCTATAGTTCTCACCACATTTTAAAAATACAGCCAAAAACAATGTTAAGAACCCATAGAGAGAATCATAAAAATTTTCCCCACCACTAATTTAACATTACTTTCATATGACCCAGTAAAAAGAAATGCTCAACAATGAAGGATACTAAAATAGTTACAGTAAGGTTTGGCTCACAACAGACTTCTACACAGAAAGCATTTTATTTTAATATAAATTCATTCCCAAATGTCAAGAAAAAACTAAGGACTCTTATCAACCACTCTGACAAACTCTCAAAATAGGACACTAATAGGAAGATGATTAGCTTGGACTATATGCAAATCCATTCTCAATTCTTGTAAACTGAAACATTTTTGTTCCCATAGGAATTTTAAGCTCAGAGAGGGTATGGCCACAGCTAGGTTTTTTTTCCTTTGTTTTTGCAAGTTGTTCCTGCTGTTGCTGATTTTCCTGAACTATCTTACATACAGCAAAGATTTGTTAAACATCTAAACAAACAAAAGAATAAGTTACAATTACATGAAACCACTAGGAGTCAAATGGAAACCACCAATTCATTACAGGTACCAGCCTAAGCTTGCCAGGTATAGTCTATGGATCAAATTTCCTTTTCTGGCCATTTTTTTTCTTTTTAATGAACATATTAAGTGGCACGACACTCACAATCAGGACAAAATGTGACAACATTATCACAAGGTATGCATTTCAGTACAACTTTAAAACCAGGGAACAGGGCAGTACTGAGTAGAGATGAAATAAACAAACAGAAGCCGAGCCGGTCAGGACCGAGTAAGGTTGAGGTTAGTGGCAACAGCATGTGCGTGGTTTCCAGGAAACCTTCAGTAAGACTGCTGTTAGCCCTAGCCCCGCACCTTGCCCAACCCAGTGTGCTGCGTCTTCTTCCAGCTCCCGCCTGGCTCAGTGCAGCACTGCCCTGCTCCCAGGGGTGCAGCCGCCCAGCCTGAACTCACCTTGGCAGTAGAAGGGCCTGAAGTTTAAAACATGTTAATGCATCATGCCAAAAATGCAATCAACATGCACACTTCATACACTCATGTTTCCAAAGAGATAGAAAATGTGCCACCAGTAAGAAACCTCTACACAGATCACCCTCAAAGGAGTTGGAGAAACAAGTTTTTAAACACCCACATTTACCACAAAAGTAGGAACACAACAACAGTGGTATTACTGCACCATGAAATTTCACCTAATGGATTAAAGTACCAAAAATAATCATGGCATCACCTACTTTAACTGCCATTATTTGCCCACTTGGTTTGTGGACCATTTTGTTGACAGAACCATAAGCTCCTCGTCCAATTTCTCCAAGGTCTTTCAAGTCCTCTGCAGTGAAATCCCAGTGTTGTTCAGGGGAGATCTTCAGTTTTCCTGATGACTCAATGCTGTGTGTTCTCAGTCTCTCTCTGTTAAAATATTGGGAAGCAATTTTTCCACATTTTAAATAGGTTTTAACTTTTTTCTTTTAGTACTGATTAATGTGTGGGAAAAATGTTTTCTAAATTACTAAAATAGTCTGACCTCCAGGTTTTTGAAGTTTTTCGTTTGTGTCATCCTGGTTTTTTACACACTGGATTAAGAATGATCTAGATTTAGGTAGTCAATAGACATAGCTTCAATGGGATTCATAAAAACAAATTCCCAAGAAGACTTAAACAATTCCCATTTATTAATTCTGTGGATCAGTTTTCATTTCTAAATATAAGATCTTATTCAAACTTGGATAAGGATTTATCCAAAGAGCATCATCAAGTGAGAATCCCAAGAGCTGCGAACCTCATTGAGAAACAGTTCTTATCCTATCTTACCCAACATTAGTTATTCCAGTGCCTCAATCTTCAGTTAGTACAACTATTCCCAAAGTTGGCTGTACCTTACAATCACCTGGGGGAGATTTTAAAAATCTCAATGCCCAGGTATCATCCCATAGCAATTAAATCTGAATTATCCAGGGACAGGAGTCAGAAAACAGTATTTTTAAAGACCCCCAGATGATTCCAGTAATGTTTGGGAAATAGTGCCTTAGTATACTGTCCCGTTCTTGTTAATACCATGCTGAGGTGGGAGAACAGTCAACTGAACAGCTAGCTGGCTCTAAGAGGAAAATTGCCATGTGCTATTCAAAATTGAAATTTTCAGCCCTGGTTCGATAAAGCAATGGGATAAAAAATAAGTGGCTCTTAGACAAAAGAGCTCACTCATTACATATTTCCATTAAATAAAAAATCATCTCCAAAATCTCAACCTGGAGATCAAAGTATTAATTTCTAACCATGCTTTACAAAAAAGTAAATCCAATGAAAAATGTAAAACCAATCTGTTTCTCTCTCTTGCTCTCTCTCTCTCTCACACACACACACACCCCCCCCAAACCCAATGTGTAGGAACAAACTATCAACCACACACACAATGAAAACAATTCATTAAATATCAACTATATTTTTCAGTTTCATACAAAATGATCAAGATTTCTTTTTAACTCTGATCCTATGAAACCAACAGGAAAAGTTTATGTGCTTGGTCATTTATTCTTCTTCTTGCAAAATTTAGGAATGTTTTCTCCAATCAGTAGAATGGTTTTCTGTAGCAACTTTTAAGGTTCCCCAAAAACTTAGAACTTTAAAATCTACCCCCACCCCGAGAATAATCGTTATAATTATCTAATATTAAGGTTCAAAGTTACACTTCAAAGATTCATACACTTGGTCTAAATAACAATTTACTGTATCAGTGTTCCAAGTAACAGACTTTCAAATCATACTAGGTGATAACACCAGCTTTCATTCATTCAAGTGCTTTTCAGTTCAAAATCCTTTCACCCATATTATTTGATACTCTAGCATCCAGAGTCACAAGAAGCCTGGAAATCAGTAGCATAAGTGACCATTTAGGTGAAGATGAAGCCGGAACTGATCTTTTAGGATGGAACTCAGGTCTAGGCAAAAATAGGAAACTTTTCTTGGTAATCTTTTTCATGAAGTAGACAATTAAGCCTGAAAAAAGTTCTAACATGAAGAAGTTCCATGTATAATGATTACTGTTCTATAATCTTTGGCAAATAAACACTATCTCAATGGCATAGTTTAATTACTGGTGAAATATACAGCACCAATCTACCACCGAGGGAAGCTGAAAAAAAGTTAATTAAGATTACTTGTAAATCAGAAGCAAAATTTTATAAAGTGTTCGCTAATTGAGGGGCTATGGCAGACAGGCTCCAGGAAGTCCCCATGATCCCCACCTTCTTAGTGTTCATATTTTTGTGTAGGTACTTCTCTTTGAGTGTGAGTGGGACCTGTGACTTGCCTCTAACCAAGAGAATATGGTAAAGATGATGTACTATGACTTTCATGACTACACCGCTATATAATACTTATGCTAGCATTCTTGAGAACTGAAATGAAAGATACTTCATTACTATACAGAAATTACAGAATGAAAATGGTTACAATATTATCTCTATTACTTTAAAGATCAAATTTTAGTATTTATGGAATATCTCTACTAATTAGTTTAGCTCACTGTAGTTTTTTTGTATAGTTCCTGGATAAAGTCCCTTTTTTTCTTTTTGAAAATGAACAGGTTGAAAGCTAAGTGATACAGGGTATCTACTTGGGCTAATATCCAAAAATAGAATAAGGTACCAGATGCACAATTCTGTAAACATACTAAATGCAACTGAACTATACACTTTAAATGTGTGAATTGCAGAACGTGAATTATATCTCAGTAAAGCTGTTAAAAGAGGAGAATGTGATTCCTACCCAGAGTTCCAAGTTTCTCATTTACAAAGAAAAAGTGCTGTAAAAACACAGAAAAACATGCCACGGTTATGACATCAGCAAGCCATGTTCATACATTCATCTTTATACTGGGCTAGCAATCTTTCCAGTAAAACTGAGTCCATTTCACAGCAATTGTTTTAACAGTTGGTACAACCACAATGGCTTCCACAGAACGGCTATACACAGATACAGTGCTGGAGTGACTAGATACAGGAACCAGACCAGAACCTTACCATTAAACTCTGCAGTCAATCAATTTCTGTCCTAAACTATGTAAGCGGCCTAGGAAGGAAAGAACATAAACAGTAGAAAACACACCCCATGAGAAGATTGGTGAAAAATAGAAACCAATAAAGATGCAAAGTTGCCCTTATTTGCTGATAAATATTTCCCTACAATTATACTCTTAAAGAAAAAAAAAAAGTACCCTGACTTTTCCTTGGGATATCACTTTCTTGAGAATGGGGACTATATTTTATCAAAAATAATTCCTACTACAATTGGATTGTTTGTAACACAAAGGATAAGTGCATGAGGGGATGAATACCCAATTTCCCATGATGCGATTATTACACATTGCATGCCTGTATCAAAACATCTCATGTACTCCCATAAATATATACACCTACTATGTACTCCCCAAAATAAAAATAATTCCTAAAATCCCTCATCTTTCCCTTCATAATTTTCTGTGCATTATTTTATACAGATCACCCTTACCTGCCTCCAATGAACACTTCATAGGATTCCAATCCCAAGGTTCTCATTACCAACCTGGAAAACTCAGACAACAGCCACAGTGGCAGTAACTATCAGCTGTCACCCAACATCCATTCTTCTCTTCATCCTCCCTAACAAGATCCTCGTTTACTTGGGGCAGCAATGCACCCAGCTAAAAGGCTACATTTCCCAACTACTATCAACTGAACTGTGTTCCCTCTCAAAATCCACATGTTAAGGTCCTAACCCCAAACGTGACTGTACTGAAGACAGGGCCTATAAGAAGATAATGAAGGTTCAGTGAAGGTTAATGAAGGGTGGGGCCCTAATCCACTGGGATTAGTGTCCTTACAAGAAGAGAGACCACAGAGTTCACTCTCTTCTCACATGTGCAAAAGGTCATCTGAGCTCACAGTGAGAGGTGGCCACCTGTAAACCAAGGGAGGAAGCCTCAGGTTAAAACCTACCTTGCCAGCACCTTAATCTTGGACTCTCCAGTCTTCAGAATTGTGAGAAATAAATTATGTTGTTTAAGCCACCTAGTGTGTGGTATTTTGCAGCCCGAGCTAAGTCACCAACATTCCTTGCAGTTAGAGGTGGAAAATAGGAACACAGTACTTAAAAGGAGCTAACTCAGTTGGAAAAAAGACTCTTGTTCTTTTCCTCCAATCTCCTTGTTGTTGCCTGGAATGTAGGTAATGACTAGAGCTCCAGCCACCCTCAATGCCCTGCAGAAGTGAAATAATGTCCTGAGAATGATGGAGCAGAAAACAGCACTGACTCCAATAACAATGAAGCCACTACACCAACCCTAGCCTTCCTATCTCCAGACTTTTCTATGGAAAAGGGAAATAAATTATCTGGTTTAAGCCACTATTTGTTCCTATCCTGGTTGTTGTTTAGATGCAAACAAACTTACTTTTAATTAATACAGCCCCTAGCATTATTTTATTTCCCAATGACTCTCAAAGAAGGTAGTGCCCGGACACCTCCAGCGTCAGCAGCAGTTTGGTCATCACAATCACTGGGAAGTGCAATTAGCATTTAGTGGCTGGGGGCCAATGATGCTAACTGTCTCCAAATCCACAGAGCAGTTCTAGACAACAGGCCAAAAGTATTTCCTTGAATAGAATCTTAAGACTATACTTTCAGGGGTCATTTCTATAGTTCATTACTGGAGAAGTGTCTCTGAACCTGTAGAGCACCTAACACGTTTTCATTCTCCTGAACTCATTCCTGATGTCTGATACCCTGGTTGAAAACAATTCAGTAAAGCATCCTGCCTCAGAATGACTTTCCTATCATCCTTCATGTGTCACTCCAAGGTTTCTTCATGAGTCACTACAAGTTCTCTAGTCCATACCACAGTACCCCGCAAAAAACACACGAATAAGGCAATACAATCTGATTAAGATACACACACACAAAATACACACACAGAAAAAATACACACACAAAAAAAATTCTTAACTCTGGTGTCCCTGATTTCAGAGCCTTACTATTCCACATCTAATAATTCTTGGTTCCCAGAGACTTAGCAGTTCCACGTTCTAGAGAAAACACACACACATACACCCGGAAAAACTGCCACAGATGTCACAGACATTCAAAAGAAGTGAAATATGAATGATCCTAACTTTTTCAAAACATACAAGATTATAGATAGAATACTTAATATAGGGCATGAATTCATATAATACAGGCCTTATTAAAAGTACAATTCAATGTATAGAAATTATATTTTGATATCAGAGATTTATCTTGTTAGATTAAAATCTGAAAACTAATTTTTTTAAGCCTACATATTTGCACTGAAATCCTTCCTGATCGTTATCTTCTGGCTAGAAATGACAAATGTATCTGTTAACCTAAATTTAATACTGAATTAAAATTATTGTTTT